GCTCAGGGCTGGAAACCCCTGAACTATATTAACAACCAAGGTCAAAAATTCAAATTATGCAAACTAAAGTGTAAACTTGATGCCTGTTAATACTCTTTCTCACTCAGGGTTGTTAGTATTTGGAATAACTTGCCGTCTGACGTGGCCAATGCCAAAAATATCAAGACCTTCAAAATTAAAATTAACTCTATAAACTTTGAAAAATACTGTTCTAGCTAACTAGTTTTTATTTTATAACTGTGGTTTTATATATAATAGTAATACATATATATATATATATATATATATATATATATATATATATATATATATATATATATATATATATATATATATATATATATATATATATATATATATATATATATATATATATATATATATATATATATATATATATATATATATGTATTACGTATTTACGCAGCACTCCCTTGCGAGTCTAATAATGACAGTGATGATGTCATGGAAATTCTATCCGAACTCAGCAGACAGTCGAACATGTTCCTAATGCTCGTCTTCTAGCTTTTCTCAAAGATCAAACAACCTCAAACTTTGTCCCAAAGCTCAAACAACGAACAACAAACAAAATATGAAACAAAAAATCCAAATCAATGATCTTAACTGACTGCTGAAGAATTTTTCAGATTTGAATCCAATCGTTACGATTGAATTCAATTCAGAAAATGTATGAAAATTAGAACATTAAAATTAATCAAGTCAACATCACTTTGATGTGAGCAAAATTTTTTAGTTTTAAGCAACCATGGTAATAAGAGGCGGGAAAGAATGACTATTGCAAATTTAAATGACTTTAATTTTTTGAAAAGTTATTTCAACAATCAACACAATAAATGTAGAAAATTTAAGGTTTATAGATAATAGTAATAAATCATAAAATTTTTTTTTTCAAAATTTTATTTTATTTTTATAGCTTTTACTTTTTTTGAAGAATATCGGTTTATTTCAGTTTTGTACAAAATCTCGTCTCCGAAAATATTGTCTTGTGCGATACCCCCTGAGATTCTTAAAAAATCATTAAAACTATTTTATTTGAAATAAAAAAATAATTAATAAATCAAAACTAAGACTTAACTTAATTATTAAAAATAATTTGGGAAAAATTATATCCAAACAGAAGTAAAATAAATGCTTAAGTAAAAACGGAAAAAATTTTTTTTTTCTTTTTTCTCAGTAGATAATTTTATTTACATTTATATTTACATTTATTTATATATTTTTACGCGATTTTTGTTCGTTTTTCGAATCGCGTCCAAGGATTTTGGAATAAAGCAGTGGCGCAGTGGTTGCGCACTTGCCTCAGAAACGTAAGATTCGGTTTGGAAGAAGGTGTGAACTTCCTATTAAATGCTCTTCCGCGGTGCTCTGTGATAAGACCGTAAGGACTTCTTAGGGCACCTAAATCAACAAAAAAACAAAAAAAAAAAGCATGATGGCTGATTGATGGATGTTATATTATGAAATTCCAGACTAAAAGTTAAGGTGGAAGTTGTACTCTCAATGCTTTTTAAAGCTTGTAACATGTATACTCTTGTTTTACAACTATGATAAAAGCTCTTTCATGCAAATTAATTGTTTGCAGATTATTGCGAATAATATATATTGACTTGTGTTATGATTATATGCATATAGAAATAATTACGAGCAATAATAATATAAAATCAAATGCAAAAAAAAAAACATTTGAACATAAATGTTGCTACAACTACTGCAGTGTAAATTAAGTTTAAATGTAAATAGTTGAACTGTTGATTTTGATTTGATTGTTTAACAAAAATAGTTGTTTCGCTAAAAAAAAAAGCAAACATTTTTCAACATTATCTACTAACTTAATTGGATAACATAGTTTAATTGATTTAGAAATACTTAACTCTAGTTTCTACATTTAGGAGGTCCAGAATGTGTATCTCCAGAATGTATATCTTTCTGAACATGAGATGAAGAAAAAAAGTTTATTCGCTTCCTTTCCGTATGTGTGGTTATATAAAATACTTTTATTCATCAACATTTAACAAACAAAAATGTTTTAATATTCATAACAGGACTGTAAAAGGTAATTTAAGAACACGCATTAGATTGCTTAGGGGAAAGGCAGAGAAAAAAATTTTTCGCTACGCTAATGTATCCGAAAAGGTTTCTCCATCAAAATACATTGTATTCTTTAATATTTAATACGTTAATTAATCAATCAATATATTTCTGAAATAGTTGGTGAGGTTACATTTCAAAGTTGTTAACAATTAGTAATTTTACTAAGATTAAGTAAACACATAACGAAAATGAACATAATAATGGTTATAATAATAAAAATAGTACTTATATTAATAAACATAAGACATCACAATATAAAAACAATAAACATTACCAATAATCAAAATGTTAACAATAATAGTAATAATAATAATAATAATAATAATAGCAATAATAATAATAATAATAATAATAATAATAATAATAATAATAATAATAATAAAAATAATAATGATAAAGTTAATAATAAGTTTCTTGTTTTTATAAACACATTAGCTATATAAATATATAAGAAGTTAGAGAGTTACAAACAGTTAAAAAACTGATTTAACGTAACACCTAACCAGTGCCGGATCAAGGAGGAGAGGGGGGGGGGGCTAGGGGGACTATAGCCCCAGGCCCCGCAAATTTAGGGGCCCCCAAAAGTTTTAAAGGACCTTTATTTTTTTTTTTAGTCTTTTTTAGGCTCTGGCCCGTAAAAAGGCCTCCAAACACAAAAATAGCCCCAGACCCCAAGATGTCTTAATCCGCCACTGCAGCTAACAATGACATAAAACAATTATTTAAATAGAAAACAAGAAAATAGGAAAAATAATAATAAAATTAAAAATAATAATGCCAATGATAACGATAATTATAATAGAAATAACAATAACAAAAAAAAAAAAAAATGATAATAAAAATAAGAAAAAATATATTTAACATTAAAAGAAGTAACACAATCAAAAAATCAAAACTTAAAAAATACTTAAAAAAAATAAAATTAAGGGAAAAAAAATTTAAAAATTGAAAACTTAATATTATTACATGGAGGTCCTCAATATACAATATTCAAACTTATACACGTATAAAATGCAGGTCCACAATATACAAACTTATATACGTATAAAATGCAGGTTCACAATATACAAACTTATACACGTATAATAGATATACGTGTATACACAGATACATATACATAGACACACATGTATACACAGATACATATACATAGAGAAATGCACATACGCACTTACATACAATCACTTACAAATATATGCATACACACTTCGACATAGGTACACGGGAGGCGGCGATTGCCCCCAACTGATTTCATTTTTTTTCATTCAAATTCTTGCTACCTTAGTTGGCCCCCGTTATCATTATTATTTTTATTATATTAGCGTTTGGGGGCATACAAGTCCTCAAGAAATATTTTTTTTAAACAAATTTAAGTCAACTGAAAATTGAACAAGTGCTATGAAAATGAAGAAATAAATTATAATAAAAATCCACATTCAAGTTTGGTACAATCTTGAATGCTTAAAAATTAAGGAAAACACTAAATCCAATCCTTCAAAGTACAATCTAAATTTTACTGACCAATGCGATCTCCAACGGAAATATAGTTGTATTTTAAAATAAAACAAACTCTGAGATTTTTAATAACATTTAATAACATTTAATAAGTATTTAATATTTATTATTATTATTAATAATATTTTCGTTTAATATCAATTTGATAACATTTATATCACATTTTGAATGCCATAATCGGGTCTAGAATTTTTAAAAACTGTTCAAACAGCACTTTGACGGATTGGATATAAGGTTTCCCAAAAATTAAGCTATGAATGAGCCGGTTTTTCTATTTAGCTTTTTGTTTAACTAATTATTTTTTTCGCGCTTTAA